GCGGGCCCGATGAGTACCCCTAAATATCGGGCATGCCCGGCGATCTGAATGCGCTGCCACTCTGGGACTAGAAATTGGAGCAAGCGCTGAGTGAGAGATTGCACGGCGGGTGAGAAGGCGGCCCACAAGGATACTATCACTGTCTTCTGAATCTGAAGTTCGAGTCCTGCGAGAGTAGCAATGGCCCGACAAGGGGGGAGGAGGAAAGGGAGGGACCCAAGGCGAGCAAGGACAAGGCCCAGATCATCTGCGCAGGCACCGAGCTTGTTGGATCCAGGAAGACGGTTTAAAATCTGGACTAGATGACGGATGGGGGCATCAAACGCCAGGGCCCAGATCGATCCTGAAAGAGGACAGCCCTGAAGCACCCCAGAGCCGATTTCGAACATGTACTGAAGCTGGCCATTGACGCGGGCCCACGCCCCTGGGGAATGGTAAAGCGCCCGAATGACATTGAGATACCCTGGGGGGACTCCGTGAGCCACCAAAGAGGCAAACAGGAATTCCCATCCTAAGGATGGGAAGGCAGCTTTGATATCGAAACTGACTAAGATGGGAAGGGCATCTAGGGCAGCTGGGGAATGGCCTGCTCTACGGGCTTCAGAATCTAGCGTCAGAACGTGTTGTCCGAAATTACGGCCCTTTACGAACCCCTGTTGCGTGTCTATCGTTCTCTCTTTGACCATATCCACTAAGCCCATGTTCACGACGTGGGCAATCAGTTTGGCGTCGCAGTTCTTTAGGGGGAGGGGGCGAGTGGCGCCTGGAGCTCGAAATACGGCATATTGGTCCTGGGGCTCATCACCTTTTGGAAGAAACGCGAAGACAGAATCGTTGAACTGAAACGGAGCCAGGCCCGTTTCGAACATCTGCATCATGAGGTCATATAAGATCTGCGAGGAGCCTGGAGAGGTTGCCCATGCAGCATAAGGTATCTGGTCAGGGCCTGGGGCCCTGTGACGTACCTTACGTAGGGCTCTCTGAAAGTCCTGAAGAGCTGGAACCCGCAGGTCCGCGCAATCGAAGACGGGGAGGTGCTGGGCTAAGTACGACTGGACCGCGTTGGGGCCCACGGTCTTGCTCGAGAAGATGGGCTGCCAGTATTTCTGAAGACCTCCGAAAATGCCCTCGGGTGAGCTGGTGGTGGGGAGGGCATTGGTGGGTGTCCCCTCCTTTGGTATCCTAAGTCCTGAAAGTACGAGGCGACGACGAAATGGGTTCCAGGCCTGCGCCCGGCGCATGAGCTGCATCGCGGCCTTGCGGTTGCCGGCCTGGTCCATCTGCATCTCGGCGTGGGACTGCAGCTGGCGCTTTGTGGCGATGGCGACACGTCTGTCGTAGTCAGCGGTAACGGCTGCATCCATAATCTTGATGTACTCGTCCCTGTTGATGAGCTCAGGCCCGTTGTCGGTGAGGCGAAGGTGAGCGGCGCCAATGTCCGTCGTGGCCATGAGGGGCGCAGCTGTATCTCAATCTTTTCGCCAAACCGTCCGAGCAATGGCACGTACTGAAGTCAGTCTCCCATGCTTCGCCCAGCGGCTTTGATCATGTAGTGTGGCTCGCTGTTGAAGATTACGAGTGAGGCGAGCCGCTTCTTTGATGATGAGCTTGTGTTGCTTCCAGGCTCCAGTTGGCGAGAGAGCTGCCGATGCGATGTTGTCCTTCAGGAAGTTGAAATGGCGCTGGTACGTGGGGTCATGGAAAATGAGCGGATCAATGGCCTGTTCCTCCCTCTGCGCCGCCGAAGCGTTGACCAGCAGGAGGTGCAGGATCGCGTGGTCACTGAGGCCTTTGTCTGATAAGGCAGCGCCGTCTTTGTGGATCTTGAGGTGAGCGTCAACGTTCATGAGATCGATGCCCGACAGCGATACGAAGATGCGGTCTATGGCAGTAGCCGCTTGTGCGTTGGCCGAGAAGTGCGTGGGCAGGCCGTGCGTAACTTCCGTGAGCGAGGTGAACAGTTGACGCCAACGCGCTTGTTCACGCTGATACTGTCCATCAGGTGCCATCGGTCGCCAGCGTGCCGATGGATCCTTGAAGTTAAAGGAGGGGACCGCGCTGGTGTTGAAGTCGCCCATGGCAATGAATAACCGCTGTTGAGGGTTCTGTGCTGCCCACTGTCGGGAAGCATGCCACGCTTCCGTCACTCTCTCCATATCCGTAGTCTGCAAATCGTGATTGTGCACATTCATGATGAGCGTTTCGAAGCCCGTGATGTGGTTGGCCACATGGAGAACAGCAACCCTCCCACGAATCACTGGCCAAAGTGAAGTAGAGGTCGTCGTCATCGATGGCGTCGGTACTAAGAAAGCGATGCCGCCCTTACCGCGGTTGTGAGGGAAGCCGCTGAAGAAGACCTGATAGTCGTAGGGAAGTTTGCCAAGGTGTGATTCGAGATCGAGCTGAGTGCTGTGCACTTCTTGGAGAGCGATGAGCGGCTGTTTACGCATGAAGGGAACGAGCTGCCGAATCTTTCCCCAGCGTTTGGCATCATCATGACAGAGTAGCCCGCGAGCGTTCCAACAGATGTAGCTGCCTGCCGAATCTGCTGTGGAAGGTCGTGTGCGCGTACGAGAAGCCCGAGGCCGACGGTCGTTGAATGATGAGCTGGTGTCCGATGAGGATGAAGAGGCGCTGGTAGATGACGAAGACGAGGAAGTCGAAGATGAGCTGGATGTTGAAACCGAACCATTCTGAGTCATATCTGTTTTGAGAATGTGAGCTTGTTCGGGGGGGCAGAAGAGCTCGCTCGGGACGAGGCAGATCACGCTGCAGAATAAGCGAATCTGGTGGGCACCCCAGGCCCGAGAAATCTGAAATAACATCAGGAGGGTTCTCCCGACCCTCGGGGGCGACAGGGGCATCCCACTCCCCTTGTGCCTGTCGTCGCGGTGCAGGTAGATCACCTGGTGCTCTATGATGCTGAAGATCGGGTCTGGGTTCCCGTGGAGCACGATCAGGATGAAGAGGAGCTTGCGCGGCTTCAGAGCAAGGAAGCTGGAGGTCAGGTGCTGGCCGAAGGTGCTGTAGAGGATGAGGCCGATGTTCCCGTGGTGCATCAGGCCCAGGAGGTCTGGCATGGTCTCCGTCTGAGGTCGTGGTTCTCCATGGAGACCAGCGTTTGTTAAAGCCATTGGATTGTGTCCTCCGCTTTGTAGAGAGCGGCAAATTCTGCAGCGATGGTGGCTTTGTTGATAGGAACCTTGGCCAACGCATCTTGATTCCAACGAATGACCGTTGCCGCGTCCATGCTAGTGAGCTCCAGTTTGGCTGTGGGAATGGTATTGCAGAAAATACGTCCTTGATCCCGACGTGCACGCCAGTTGTGCGTAGGGAAGTGTGTCTGACAAAGAGCGAGTAGCTTTTTAGTTTGGGTGTCCAATCTGATGCGCTTGATATTCTTATCAGGGTTGACGAAGAGCGGGGCGTACTGGCCGTGATTGATGACGCAGTTGGCGGGGGTCTGAACTGTGAACTTTCTGTAACCTCCGCGTCCTGGAAGCTGAAGGGCACGAGCGAGCGCAATGGATTTGGGAATGGCGACAGAACAACCGCCCAGAAGCTGAAGTATGAAACGCCGATTGGGTCCTTCACCGTGAATCTGAAACTGCTGAGGGGCCACTTCTGCTGCCTCCAACCATTCTGAGATGGACGCGCGAACTGCGGCAGTGTCGACAGGCTGTGCTGCGGAAAGAACGTAGATGGTGGGATCGGGCTCGCGATCCCAGTCAGAGAGCTTGGCCATGTCTCGCCCAGGCTGAGCTGCTGATTGATACGCTGGATGGCATTCCAGACTTCCTGGTGCTGTGCTTCTTGTTTGGCTTGAGCAATCTTGATGGCCATGAGGTATTGTTCTTGTCCGTCCAATCTGCGAGTGGTGGCTGCTTCGTGTCGCTGTAGAGCGGCGACGAACTGCGTTTGCGAGGCGGATACGGTTTCACCAACTGCATTATTGATTGCTGCCACTTGTGATGCCATGAGCTGCTTGAGCTCACGCTGGATGTCTGGGTCCAGCGTTGACTGAGGCCACGGTCCTCCTGCTGGCGTGGCGGTGCCTTCCGCTGCATTGGCTGGCTCTGTATCCGATGCCGTATGTCCAGAGCTGGCTGCGGCGGTAGAGGGCGCTGCTGTAATAGGAGCGCGCTGCTGAGCTGCGTGAGCCAAATGTTGAGCATGCCATTGATGTTGCGAGGTTTCGGCTGCGGCGGGAGGCTGTGTGGCTTCGTGGGCGTCACGAGCGGCTTGAGCCCCTTGGAGTTCACGTGCTTGTCGTTCTCGCTGTGCCTGTAGATGAGCTTGCCAGTGGGCTTGTTCTTGAGAGGGGAAAGTCGGCGCTGCATCGAGTTCTTCCAGTGCTGCTCGCTGCCATGCATCTTGAGTGGCTGCTGAATGAAATCCACGAGGGGCGCCATTTGCTTCACGTTCGAGAGGGCCTTTAGAGCGTCCACTGTGTCCTTTGTGCGGAGGGCGTGATCCTTCAGACGAAGAAGTACGTTGGCGTCGATCCCTATCACGTCGGCGATGTCGATCACGGTCACGGTCTCTGTCTCTGTCGTACTTATCTGAATGTCTGCGGCGATCCCGACGGTGTCCGCTGGCCTGACTCCTGCTCTTGGAGTCACTGCGAGATGAAGCGGAGGCGGAGTCCATACGGAAGTGTTGTACAGAGCTATGCCACGAATTGCCTGTCCGATGCCAAGCGAGAGAAGAGCCAACCCAGATGCCTGCAATTGAATTAGTCGAATTAGTAATTGTGCGAAGGAGCGCTTCGTCTTGCGAAAATGGAGCGGAGCCGTGGGCTGGGCAGCCCTGTCGGTCCTGTGGGATATGGAATGAAACGGAGCTGAACGGCCAGCTGCCTTGGGAAATGTTTTACTTGAGCCAAAATGGCTACGGAAAGGGACGAGGGAGGAGGAGGAGGAGGAGGAGGAGGAGGAGGGAGGAGGGAGGAGGGAGGAGGGAGGAGCTTTCCAGCGCGCGTCTGGGTCGGAGGCCCGGGCCTCGCCGGGGTCGGCGGCCGCCTCCGCGGCCTCGCTGCCGCTGGCGTCGGCGCTGCCGCCGGGGCTCCACGCGCTCTCGTCGTCGCCCTCGGCGAAGCTCAGCGCCAGGCCCTCGGCGTCCTCGGGGCCCCCGGGCCCAGGCGCCTGGCCCTCGGGGCGCGCGGCCGTCGCCGGGGCCGCGGCCACCTCCGAGAGCATCTCCCCCCAGTCGTTCGGCCTGCGGGGGCGCAGGGGCTCGCCGCGGCTCGGGCGTCCACCCCCCCGGTCTCGTGCGCGCTGCTCTTGCCCCCTCCTCCTCCTCCTCCTCCTCCTCCTCCTCCTCCTCCTCCTCCTCCTCCTCCTCGCCGTGCACTCTTCGGCCTCGCGCGCGCTGCTCGTGCCCGGGGGATCCAGGAGGCTCCTCGACGGTCCTCGCCGCGGACAGGGAGGCCCACGCCCGGGCGACGCCAGGAGGGACGGCACGAGCACGGCTCCTCGGAGGGCCGCGCGGGCCTCCCGGAACGGCGCTGGGCCCCGCTCCCCGGCGCGCGGAGCGCACCGGGGGGCGGCGCTGGAGGCGCCGCCAGGAAGGGGGGCCAGCGGCAGTCCGAGAAATCCGCGCCGACCTCCGAGGAGTGACGGCCGAAACGGGGCCACGAGAACGTGTCGGGCCGAACTGCCCCCAAGCCTGCACGCGAACGCGGCTTCCTCTGGGAATCAGGAACATGAGAATCGAACGCGCCACGTCACGACGAAGCGCCGGGGGGGCATTATGCCCGCTGTTGCGCCGACCCAAATACGAAGATGACGACGATGACGACAATGACGACGAAGACGACGACGGCGACGACAACAACAACGACACCAACAACCACAATAACAACACCACCACCAATAACAACAACAACAACAACAACAACAACAACAACAACAACAACACCACCACCACCACCAACAACAACAGCACTAACAATAACAACAATAACAACAATAACAGCAATAACAAACATAACAACAACAACAACACCAACAACAACAACAGCAACACCACCAACAACAACAGCAACAACAACACTAACAATAGCAACAACAACAACAATATCAACAACAACAACAACAACAACAACAACAACAGCAACAACAACAACGACGACGACGACGACAACAACAGCAACAACAACACCACCACCACCAACAACAACAACAACAACGGTCCACGCTCAACGTGGATCAGAAGCACGAGCCCCTCCGCCGAAGGCCAAGAACCCCATGGCGATACCAAGAACGAAGCACATCGCAAGGTGTGTGGGGGGGAAGCCTACTGGCGAAGAACCTCAGGGCACCCCTCCGAAGACAGGGCTGCTCGTCGCGCCCGTTCCAGCTGTGTGCCCACGCCGTGCTGTGCCTGTCGCAGGGTGTGGGTGGGGGGCCTGCCGGCGAAGAACCTCAGGGTAACACCCCTCCAACGAGAAAGGGCTGCTCTTCGCCCCCGCTCCAGCGGCGTGCCCACGCCATCTGCTTGGGTGCTTCGGGCCTCGGCGCGGGCACCAGCAGCGCGGGGTGGTTGCACAGCTTCTTCAGGAGGCCGATGGCCTTGAAGACCTCGACGCCGAGCTTCTGCTTGGCGGACGCCTCGCGGATGACCTCGCTCCTCTGCAGCACCTCCCGGTACAGGGAGGCCTGTGCCTCGGTCGGGGTCAGCCAGATGACGGTCTCCTTCTTCGGGATCAGCCGCCTGGCCTTCTTCCCCTCCTCGCCCACCTCCGCGTCCTCGGCCACCGCGTCGGCCCCGTCGTCCCCGTCTCCGGCCGGGGCGCCCGCGGCCTCGCCCACCAGCCCGACCATGACCTTGGTGCGGTTGAGGAAGTACGGCTTGATCTCCCTGCGCAGCTGCTCCGCCAGGTGATCCCTGAGCTGCACGGACCAGGCGTCGGCGCCGCGCACGCTGCCGCGGTCGATGGGCTCGCTGAACGTCTTCACGAAGGTGGCGTGGTTGCCCAGCAGCCCGGGCTGCGCGAAGTCCATGAGTGACCAAAGATCCTGCAGCGCGTTCTGCACCGGGGTGCCGGTCAGCAGCACCCGGCACTCGGACCTCAGCTGGCGGAGGGTCCTGCAGAGGAAGCGACATCGGCATCAACATGCTGTAAACTTTCGAAGGTCCGCGCTGATTTCTTGGATCGGAGCTGGAACCCCCCTCTCTGGCGCGCGCGCACGCCATGGGCGGCGCTGGAGGCGCCAAAAGGGGGGCCCGCGCAGAGCTTCGAACGTTTATGCTCATGCCGTGTTTTCTTCGATCCTGCCGAGCAGCGTCGAGATGTTTTTCATCTTGTGGGCCTCGTCGCAGATGACCACGTCCCAGGCCCGGACTTCGCCGCTGCTTGGCAGCCCGTCCTTGGCTGTCCCCCCTCCTCCCTCCTCACTCCTCCCTCCTCCCCCCTCTCCCCTCCCCCCTCCCCACTCCTCTCCCTCCTCCTCCTCCTCCTCCTCCTCCTCCTCCTCCTCCTCCTGTTCCTTCTCCTCCTCCCCTGGGGAAACCAACAGGTACTGATACCGCTGCTCCCCAGACTTTCCCCAGGGTGCGGTCTGACCAGAATTTCGAGGCGAATCCAGCCGTGATGACGGGGCCTAATAAGGCGATAAGGCGAAAACCAAAGAAGGGTAGTGGCATCGCTACCCTTGCCCCCCTTCTTAGTCTTCGTCGGAGCAGGCGAGCCGTGATGACGGGGCCAGCCGTGACGACGGGACCCAGGGAGGCGAGAACCAAGGGCGGGCAGTGACATCGCTAACCTTGACTTCAGGACCACATCCCAGAAATAATTTCGAGCACCCAGAAAAGTGTCGAAATGGTGTCGAACGAGTATCGCCTCCCAGGGCCCGACACGTGAAAAACCTCCAGTTCCAGTACCTTCTCGGTGCTCGAAGTTCTCCCTGCTGATCCAGGCTGAAGCAGGTTGGAACATCACAATCCTTGCCCCCCTTCCCAGTCTCCGTCGGAGCAGGCGAGCCGAGGCAAACGGCAGCCCAAGTGGCCCCCCCGACCCCTCCCCAGGGGCGCCGCCTCCCCAGCCTCCGTCGGAGCAGCCGAGCCCAGGCAAACGGCAGCCCGAGTGGACTCCGGCCACGGCGGGAGGCCCCCCCCCCGAGCCCCCCCGACCCCTCCCCAGGGGCGCCCCCTTCCCAGCCTCCGTCGGAGCAGCCGAGCCCCGGCAAACGGCAGCCCGAGTGGACTCCGGCCACGGCGGGAGGCCCCTCCCCCCCCGAGCTCGGCAGCCCCCGAGCTCGGAGGGCGACCGCTGGGGCCTCAGCTCGCCCATCCTCCGAGCTCGGCAGCCTCCTCCTCCTCCTCCTCCTCCTCCTCCTCCTCCTCCTCCTCCTCCTCCTTCTCCTCCTCCCCCTTCCCCTCCCCCTCCCCCTCCTGCCTCCTCCTCCTCCTCCTCCTCCTCCTCCTCCTCCTCCTCCTCCTCCTCCTCCTCCTCCTCCTCCGTCCTCCGGCAGGAGCTCCACCATCTGCGGCTCCTCCTCGTCCTCCGGCGCGTCGAAGCCCTCGTCGTCGTCCAGCCTGCGCCGCTTCGCCGACTGCTTGTCCCCACGGCCGCGGCCTTTCCCCTTCTGGCGGCCGCCCTTGTTCCGCCGCGGGGAGGGCGCGTCGTCCACGATGACCCTGTGGAGGTCTTCGGTGGTGCCGAGCAGGTTATAGGTGGTGAGCAGCAGGCCGCCCTGCGGTCTGCTCACGCGCCTGAGCGCGCTCATCCGCTGCGAAGGGTTCCCTGGAGGAGCACACAACGGCATGAACCCAAACTGTCGGAGGGCCGCGCGGATCCTTCGGATCGGCGCTTGTGCGCTCCGCGCACCAAGGAGGGGGTCCAGCGCCGATCCAAAACGTCCGTGTGTAGCTCCGAACGTGTTTTTATGTCTTTGCAGATGATTATTCTCCAGTCTCCGTAGTAGGTGTACACCGGCCAGCCAGGGCACCACTTCTTGGCCTCCTTCTGGGAAGCCAGGATGTACCGATGCCGCTGCTTCCTGGAACTCTCCTGGGGTGCGCTTGGACCAGAATCTCGAGGCGAATCCAGCCGTGGCGACGAGGGCCTCCCAAGAGGTTCGAAACGGGCAGCAGCATCAGCACCTCACGAGGGAGGACAAGTACCGTCTGGGGCGCTCCTCTGGGCACCCCGAGGCTAACTTTAGGTCGGGCATATCCTCCTACAGGCGGATTGTGGAGTGAAACATGAAAAATAGACAAACACATACTCAATAATAGTCAAACATGATTAGCCCCCCCAAAAACAAATCCCCAGACTATTTTTGGAATCTTTGTGAATATTCCTCCTGTAGGGGGACGTGCCCGACTTAAGGCTATCTGCCAGGACGCGTCCCTGAGGCGCCCGCAGCTGCCGGCGAGGGCGCTCCCATGGGCGGCTCGCAGGTTCACCGCCAGGGCGCTCGGCAGTCACATGCCGCCTCTCGCTGGCGTGTGCTGGCGGGAGGGGGAGGCCCTCATGATCTTCTCTGTGTGTGCTCTCTTTTTTTCCCCGAACGCACTTGCCGTTCCTCCCCAGGTCCTTCTCCCACTGGTCGAGCAGCGCCACTGGGAGCAGCAGGAGTGCATGCGTCGCGCCGGCCTTACGCATGCCGTTGAGGAAGGCGCACACCTGCACGGTCTTGCCCAGGCCCATCTCGTCGGCCAGCACCCCGCCTTGCCGTGGAGAGACGTCAGACCGACGGGGCTCCAAAACGTCCAAAAAGAGCCCCCAAAGGCTCCCCAGAGGATTCCAACAGCGCCCTGGGGTACTCCCCAGAAGCCCCCACGCGGTGCCAAGAGGCCCCCACGATAGCCCGAAGAGGCCCCAATCCTCACTAAGACAGCTCCAAGTCGGTCCAAGACAGCGCCAAGATGGCCCCTTGGGTGGGTTGGCCCGATGGAACCGTTGGGAACCCAGCGAGTCCCAGTCTGATATGTTTGAAGCGGGCTCCCTGCAGCAGGCGTCCCACTAGCAGTGGCCCCGTCCAGACCCAGGCGGGGCCCGTCAGCGAGCGTCGGCAGTCTCGAGTCTTACGCCTCCCCGACCTTGGCGCCGCTGCCAGAGCCCCGCCATCCTAGGGCGACGACATCTGCACATATCCACTGTTCCCTGGCCAGGCCCATCCTGACCCCAGCAGCGGTGTATACGCCACGCCCTCCTGGCTTGGCCAGGAGGGCATAGACACAACTCCTGGGCCCAGGAAGGGCCCAGCCAGGGGGCAGCGGATGCGAGGCGGGAACTGATCTACATCCACCGCCTGGGCACCGACGCCCTGGTGCCCCAGCGGGCGGGAATGCGGATATGTTTCGACACTCGGGGAGCCGAATATGTCCATGTCCGCCTGTGGAGGTCCGCGAGGATCGATCTCCCAAGCGGTGGTTATGGATAAATCCCCGCCTCGGAATAGATGCGTACCCAGACCCCCGACGTCGCGATTTTTTCGCAACGTCGAACCCCAGAGGTCTGGACCCTTTCCCCTGGACCACATTTGCCTCCCGAGTCGTTTTTTTGACGGTCCCGAAGCCTGGGAAGGGCCCGTCGTGATTTTTCACATTGCGAGGAGGTCAGTGTACAGATTTCGTCGCCCGACGTCCACGCCACGCCCTCGCGCTGGTACCCGTAGAGGCTGTCGAACGTGCCCCGCGGCACGGCGAAGGTAGGCCCGCCAGAGGGCGGGCGCCTGCCGACGAGCTCCTCGGAGGGGGGGACGGCTGCTTACCAGACCACCCCAACCTGACCCGAAGACCCTAATCCCACCAGCCCTCTGGGCGCAGGTGGTCTAGAAAGGTTCCTCTTCCAACCCCCTTTTTCCCCTTCGGGGAGGGGTTACCACTGTTCCATATTAATTCACAACCCCCTCCCCCAGGCGAGCGGCGGCCAATCAGGAACCATGCCCCCACCCCCCACCATCCCTGTCAAAACGCCATACAAAACGCACCCTTCCTCCAAATTCGGAGCATGCGCAACCAACCCGATGCGGGCCCCCCACCACCATCCCTGTCATAAAACTATACAACATATACTTTGGGGCAAGTCTGGAGTCATGTTCGTGGGGCCCGCGAACAGTTTGTATGATTTGTTTGACAGGGACGGCGGGGGCGTCAGCATATTGCCTGCTGTGCGCAGGGTTGCAAGTTTTGACAAAACGCAGTACAAAGTGCACCTCGCGGCTAAATCTGGATCATGCGCAGCCATTCCGCGATCATCGCCTAGTGTTTTTTAACAGGGACGGCGGGGGTGGTGGCGCATGGCCTGCTGTGCGCAGGCCCACCAGACACAATGATGGGCAATGGTTTTTGACAAGCATGGTGGGGGCCGACATGTTTGCCGATGTGTGCTGTCACGTGCGCAGGCGCACCTGACACACGCGGCACGTACCCTGAACATTGCGCACCTGGCCCAGCTGGAGTATTCGGCACACCTGGCGCACGCGGAGGCATGTGGCGCATCTGGCGCACCAGGCGTGCCTGGCACGCTCGGGCCCCAGGGGTGCCTGGCGCGCGTGGCTCGGTAAGCCCGCGTCGCGCACATGGGTTCGGTTTTGGTTCTCAGTAGCTGTCCATCCAAAGACGACCGCTGAACATGCTAAGGCTCGGGTGATACTTTTGTGTTGGGAAGGCGGGTGGGAGTGAGCTAGACGGCTTGCTGTCTACACGGCCCCCTCCCCTGGACCTGGACGGGACGCCCCGCGAGCGGTCAGAGCATCTAAGATGGCCCAAGGCGGCTCCTCCGCTTCCCTGGTCAAGGCAACTCGCCTGGGCATCGATTGTAGGTGGGCTGGTGGGGATACTTCGTATTCTTTTCTCGCGGCCGCAAGCGAAGGCGCAGGCGGCGTCAAGGGTCTTCCCGGGCTACGGGCGAAACCTAATTATCCATCGGGTGCACTCACGGCTGCCAAAGCTGCCGCCGAGGGACGCTGAGCGGCGCTGGGGGCTGAAGGCAGGCTGCAGGAGCTGCCAGGTGTGCCAGGCGGCCGAATTGCAACCATCCCAGAGGCGAGACCACCAGGAAGACGAACGAAGTGTACCCTGTCGCGTCAGGCGCCAGGGGTAGTCGTGCCACCGAGCGTGGCAAAGCGCAGGGCTGCGCAAGCAGTCCAGCGTACCACTGTCGCATGCCAACAGTGGCAACCTCAGATGGCTGAACAAGGAGGCTGCTGGTGATGATACGCGGAGCGTCAACAATTTCGGGCTGGGGGGGTACAGCCATCCTGCACCATTAGGAGCGCAACATAGGGAACGAGGAGCTATTTTCTGGCCGCAGCGAGCCTCGGCCACGAAGAGGCTCCGAGCCTTACACCTGGGGAGCTGCCCGAAAACACGGGCTCCTCCTGAGAGCAAAAAGGTCCTTCTTTCAGCGTCTCGACTGTGCAGGTTCTGCACCTGCTTTTTCAGTGCTCCCCGGCGTCCCCCCCTCCCCACACACAGATACAGACTGGGAATGGGAAGGGGAATGGAAGGCAAATTGGGGCCTTCGGGTCGGGTTGGGGTCCCCGGGTGGTTTGGTGGGTGGAGAAGGAAAGGCGCCGACGCCGCTACGGTGAGGGCATTGGATGAGGAACCACTGGGTAAGGAGTCATTGGGTAAGAAACCGTTGGATAAGGAACTACTGGATGAAGGAACCTTGTTTTCGTCTTCCCAGGGCCTCCTTCGTTTTCGCCTTTCTTTTTCGCATTTGCTCGTTTCGCGTTCGCCTTCCCATTATCTGTTCTCGCTTTCCTGGGCCTCCTTGGAGGCTCTCGTCGCCACGGCTGGATTCGCCTCGATGCTCTGGTCAGGGCGCCCGCCAGGAGAGGTCTGGGGAGCAGCGGTTTCAGCACCTCTTGACTTTTCCAAGGGGAAGGGGGAGTAGGAGAAGGAAGATGAGGAACGATGGAGGAGGAGGGGGAGGAGGAGGAGGACGAGGAACGAGGGAGGAGGAGGGAGGACCAGTGCAAAGCCAAGATGCATCAACGATGCTACGACCAGCCTTCCCTCCACGTCCCCTCTTCTTAGGTCCCTCCGAGAACTTGTTTTCCTTCCGGCAAATGGCCCGGTAGAAGACAAGCCTCTGAGAATCCTCAACAGGGGGCTTCAACGCCGCGGATCAGCGTGACTGCCGCGTCCCGGCAACCGCAAGCCGTGCCAGAACACTGGTCCTGGGACATCCGCCCCGCGATTCAGCGTGACCGCTGCGAGCTGGCACTCCTAAAGTCCTGCTGGAGCACCATTCCTGGGACCTCCACCAGACGAATGGTCAGCACGGCAACAGGCTTTTGAAGCAAATGTTCGCGGCGCGAAGGCGACGGCACCATTTGGAACAGGAGCCGCCCTCCATCCTTGAAGCGTTGCAACCCTTCGGTTTTTTTTGCAACCCTTCGGATTTTTTGCAACCCTTCGGATTTTTTGCAACCCTGGGTTTTTTTGCAACCCTTGGGTTTTTTTGCAACCCTTCGTTCAAGTGAGCTTGTTGAGACGAGCGTGCGCGGCGCCAAGGCGGCTGCCACACTCTGATGACCACCCGCCCTCCCTGCTCGAAGCAGCTGTCCGCCGACCTCCCGCGTGCGGGGGTGACGAAGCCTGCGAACTCTCGCTTGGAGGCCCCCCCACCCCCGGGGGGGGGGGACGGCTGGTCGACGCGCCCCGGGAGCCTTCCAGAGCCCCAAACCTAACCTTAACTCCGTGGCATCGAAGATGCCTCAGAATCCACTGGCGCTTCGCTTGCCTCGGGAGCGGCCAAGAGGGGGGTGTCCCAGAGGGGGGGGTGCAAATCATGACCGGCGGCATGTGCGCGGCCCAGCGGGGGGGCCAGGGACGTAATGAAATAAGGAGAGGCGCCATGAGATCTGGGGAAACATCATGGCCCCCGCCATGATATCCACCCCCCCTAGTCTTCACCCCCCTCTTTTCCGCTCCCGATTGCCCCACATGGGATGGAACACGCCGGGGAAGTACCAACGACACCCCCGATAGCAGCAGGACGGCCCAGGAGGCTCCGAAAACGCCCCAGGAGGGCTCCAAAAGAACCCCCACGAGGGCCCCAAGATGCAAAGCAATCCAGCTGGCGTGGGGAGGCGTATGTTTTCAACACGTTCGCCTCCTTCGACTTCCCAGTGTCCAAGTCGGCTAAAGAGGCTCGTAATACCGCTCCCAAGCCACCCAAACGAGCCCCCTTCTGAGGGACCCCAAACCGCCCGGGAGTGCCCCAAAACGGCCCAAGAGGCGCCCAAGACAGCCCATGAGGGCCCCAGGGCCCTCAGATGCGCCCAATACAAGTAGGTCGAATTCACAACCGCCCCAAGAAAACCAACGCAGGCAGGCACCCAAGGGCAGCCCCAAGATGCTTCAAGAGAACCCCCACAGCCCCCCCAAACAGCAGCCAGGCGTCATCAACGTGCCCCCATGAAGCCCCAAAAGGCTTCACCAATGAACGCGTTCCCTCTCATAGTGGGCCTCTTGCCCGCGCATCCTGGAGACCACGCGCCCGCAATTGCGACTTCAAGTGCCCTCAAGCCTCCTCATCTTCCGCCTCGCTCCACCTCCTCCTCCTCCTCCTCCTCCTCCTCCTCCTACTACTACTAATACTACTACTACTAACTACTACTACTACTACTACACTACTACTACTACTACTACTACTACTACTACTACTACTACTGCTACTAACTACTACGACTACTACTACTACTACCTACTAAACTACTATACTACTACTACTACTACTACTACTACTTCTTCTACTACTGCTACTACTACTACGACTACTACTACTACTACTACTACTACTACCACTACTACTACTACTACTACTACTACTACTACTACTACTACTACTACTACTACTACTACTACTACTACTACTACTACTACTACTACTACTACTACTACTACTACTACTACCTACTCCTACTCCTACTCCTATCCTTATTCCTTATTAGAATATACTCCTACTCCCCCCTCAGGCCGGCCAGATAGGGGCCGCATCCGGGTGGTCCCATCCTAACCTGTAAAAAACAATACAAAATCAACATTTTTCTTATTTTTTCCTCTCGACATGGACGTCCTGTCGTCCACGGCGATAATCCATTGCAAAAA